CGATATAAGCCAAGAGGAGACTGGTTTTCCTTTGCTAAAGTAAGGAAACTTTGCTTCCTTTGCTCCTGTTAACAAACGTTGGTTTTCACGAGACTCACCGACGCATGTGCAACGCCTACGTCATCCGTCATCCTCCTGGAGCTGCTTCTGTGTTCAACTGTTGGCGCAAGCTAGATTAAAGTGATTTTTGAATATTGAATATGGATATTTTTCTTACAAAAACGCATCGATTCACTACAGAAGGCCTTTGTTCACCCCCCCGGAGCCGTGTGAGGCACTTTTTATTATGGATGGGATGCGCTTTATTTTACTACTTTTGGACTGATGAACTGCAACACCAGCTGACAGCCATTAAACAGCTTGGAAGATCAAAGACAAATTTTAATATAAGTCCGATTGGATTCATCTGAAAGAAGGAGGTCATATACGCGTCTAGGATGGCTTGAGGGTGAGTAAATAATGGGCTAAATTTCATTTTTGGGTGAACTAACCCTTTAAGTTAAGTGGTCTAAATGTATTTATATGTATTTATATATTTTGTGGAAGGCGTAGGATCAAGAAATGTTCGTACAGTCAAAAATGCTCGTTCCGAGCATTTTGATTGACTTTCCTACCTGCCTGTCAACATGTATTAGCATACCTCTGCGCAGACAGGATATGTCATCAGCGTACTCTGTGCAGACAGAGCGAGAATGGCAGACAAACATCAACAACCCGATCTTCCTTCCTGGTATTGTAGTACGTTTACTAACTTTACAATAAAGTTTTCTCACCGGTGAATGACATATGATGTATTGTAGTAATGTTGTCTCTGGTCGTCTGGTCTGTGTGGGTTCCTGCGTTCAGGAGGCGTGGCTTTGGGCGGCGATTTGCAGGGAGGGTGGGACGTACGCTTTCAGTGCTATCAGGCTAAAGTTAGCATTTTCCAAGATCTCCTACTGCACCTTTAATCATCGCTCCACTGTAGTGAATGGGAGCTATTAAGAAGAAAAAGAAGAAGAAAAAAAAAGTAAACTTTTAAAATGGGCTATTTCTATGGTATCAAAGTTTTTAAATATTATGTATATTAATATAAATTAGGGCATGCACAACTGATTATACTAATCGGGCAAGTAGCTGGGTCAAACGTTTACCTTGTGTAAATAAAAGTTTTGGTCCGCTTGATTCTGCAAATTTCCACATTTTTTAAATGATATCCATCTATTTGAGAGATAAAATGCAAGACAAAAGCTTTTTAAATTATAGCATTTAAATTTTCCTATTTTAAAATCGGGTATTTAAATAATAAAAATAATAAATAGGAGATTATTTTCCTATTTTCAAATAAAATATATACATTTATTAATTGTCCAAGCAATAATAGACAGCTGTTTACAGCTGACAATCATGAAACTGACCATGTGTTCCTGGGTTAGTAGAATCACAGTACTCAATCCTCCACCATGAAGAAATCACACTCCAAATGCACAAAATTTATCACTGAGGTGCAATGCAAATTTGTTACAGATGTCCCCATGTGCATTTGCACAATTACTCTCCAAATAGGACTTCATTAATTACTGAAAGAATCATCAAATTAGCACTAAAATGTAATAAAAACGCAAGGGATTTGTAAAACTAAATGAACGGCACACATGGTTCGGCGCCAATAGCCTTGTGGGCAGTGCGGCGACATAGTCGTTGCACTACAGCTGTCACGGGTTCGAATGCCGACTCGAGGACCTTTCCTGATCCCGCTCCCTATCTCTCTCCCACTTCACTTCCTGTCAGTTCTGATCTGTCCTATGATAATAAAGGCAAAAATGCCAAAAATAAATCTTAAAAAAAAAAAAACATTCCACATGGGCCTCGTCATTTGTAACTTACCTTGTAACTTGACTGTCTCTTTGTTGTTCCTGCTTTCAGTGGTGGCAATTTACGACTACACGCAGGACAAGGAAGATGAATTGTCTTTCCAGGAGGGGGCCATCATCTATGTCATTAAAAAGAATGATGATGGCTGGTTTGAAGGTGTGATGAGCGGCACTACAGGACTCTTCCCTGGAAACTACGTGGAGTCCATCATGCACTACACGGAGTGAGAGTGTCCTCAGTCTCTCCCCCAACCCTCGACGCCCACCAGCGCTAATCTTACACTGCAGAACAGTGCATGTGTGCATACAAACCATGCTAATAACAGGCCGTGAGACTTCAGAGATGAGAGGTGCAACAGAAAAGAGGAAGCGATGTGAAGCTGAACATTCAGATGTTGCAGACCAGACTTTTGCACCAAGGACTGAGGAAACACTTGGAGAAATAAAATTATATGAATAAAAGCCAATATGTTTACGGTTGAATGAAGGATACAGAGTTTGAAGTTCAGGATATGCATAAGCTAGATTTAGTGTGGGTACATTTTTATTTTTCCATATTTCATAACCTTTGCTCATTCCACAGCATTGCAGTGTTTTGGAAGGCAGCATGGGGGCTGACTGATGTCTCTGAAATGGATTGTTTTTTGAACGGCCTGAGGTGGGTTCAGGGTGTGCTTTACTGTGAGGTCACGCTCAAAAAGGGAGTTCATTACATTCATGTTGTGTTTTAAGGAACAAGGAAAGTGTGGAACTGAACAGAAAGAGTGAATATAGAGAAGTAGCTTTCTATTTATTACATGTTGTGACAGCTTAAGGTTTTTTAATTTGTCTCTGAAAAGTGTTTTGATTGTTTAAGTTATTGATTGATTTATTCTCTCCCATCTAATTAAAATCAGTTTGAGCCAGATTGATGATGATATAGGAAATATTTGCACAAAGGTTTTATTTTTTTTTTACTTAATCATTAAATATATTTAATGTTTATTCACCCCCCCCCCCCATGAGAATCGGGCACC